TCTTGAGACTGAATATTAACTTTGACAATGAAAAATACTTTACAAGTACTAAAACTTCTAATACTTTTGAGTAAAAGTGACGGAAATAGTTCCTGTGCAAAACATCTCAACCACCTTGCAGTAAAACAATGCAAACTTTGAGCTAATTTAATGCATTTTACCATTGTTAGTTGTTGCCTCTATCCCCTTGAACTGCTTTCTACAGAACTCATGTCTGGTGACCATATATATATCAGAGCCTTCCACTTTGGTTCCTAGAACTTCGTGAGGTAAAAAGTGGTGGTTCATACATAATGATGTATCCAATATCCATCTGTGTATTTATTCTGAAACAAAGCTCACTTTGTCATACAAAATCAGTTCATCTTGAAACAGACCCAACACAATAAAACTCACTCAGAATACACACAATTCTGGGACAGATACCTGACATTTTAGGACTGGCCATGAAATGCTTGTTCTCTGTATGGACATGTGCAAACAACTCTTGGGCTGATTACTTAGTATGTGGCTTTTCCACCTGCACTTGGTGTAAGAAACTTTGTAGTTTGGAATGTACTTAAGGGAAATATGTACAACTTTATACAGTTTCCCATGGGTACCCCTGACCCAGGAAAAGACAAGAAAATGTCTGCTTTGAAAGGTGTGTGCCTGTGTTCTCTGTGGTATGCATTAGGGGGAATGTATTGCTGATCAAGATATTGATGAAGTAGCCCTGGCTGATGTGGCTCAGTGGAGTGTGCACTGAGCTGCAAAGCAAATGGTTGATGGTTCGCATCCCAGTCTCGGGCACAGGCCAGGTTCCGTTTGGGAGCCAAACCAGAGGCAGCCACACATTGGTGTTCCTCTCCCACTCTTCCTCACTCCCTTCCCCTCTCCAAAAGTAAATAAATAAAACCTTAAAAAAAGATATTCATGAAGTATTTGGAGGGAAGTTTTCTGCTTTTTACCCCGTATGAAAAGAAGACACCTTTCCTTTCACAAGAATCCATGTATCTGACAAATTTTGTTTCATGTGCCCAACCAGCCCTCCCATGTCAAAGAGACAGCTTCTCCAATTGACAACTACATGTGTGATTGTTTAGAAAGTGTTTCCTAATGTGGAGCTGCATGGTTTGTCTCACCTCAAGGTAAACAGCATTGCTTTCTCTTGCCTCATGGGCAAGTTGAGAAAAGTTTATCCATCTCTATCCTTCCTCAAAGGTGCAATTCAATTTTTTCTAGTTATGACGTTACTGCGGAAATGGAATATAGACATTTTCCTCATTTGCAAATCTAAAGACTTATGTAATTATTTGATGTGCATCTCTTAGACACTATTATATTGACCAGAGCACAGAGTTTTAATTGATATCAGGATCATTTTGCCAATGAATTTTAAGAACTTCATGTTCCTTTACTTGTAGGTAATGCCTTCTTCTGATGTCTCTTTCTGTGACAATGTTAATATGTTTATACTTCTGATGTTACAGAATTCAAAGCTTTTTGACACCCAGCTACAGAAAGTATCATGTGTTATATTCCCCATATGTTTACAAATGGTTTCTCCATTAATTTATGTAGCAATATCAGCACACCCTCTATTCCTCCCAAAACTGTTTCTCTCCCAACCACGCAAATGCTGTTTCCAATGTCCCTGGGCCTTACAAACGTGCTTTCACAATAAGCCTGTCAACTCTCCTGCAGTCACACAAGGAGGCAGTTTAACAGTTTAGACTAATATGAGTGCTTAAGATAATACTACTGTATACTACATATGTCCAAAGCATAAGCAAATCTTGACCACTTAGGAAATGTTCATTCTACTTAACCAAGCCTTGCTGTTGAAACACAGATGATAGTGGCTATAATCTTAATCTGAACATAATTACTTCCAGAGGACCCGGTCCACTTCAAAGGGGTCCATGTTCACAAAGTGGGGACCCTCTTTCTAGAAAAGGTCTGACTCTCCTGCTTCAAGGTGAATCAGTCCAGGGATGGAAAGATAAGGTAAATGGCATATAAGGCAGAAGTGTCAGTTTCTTATGGATTAAAATTAGATATTTTAAAATTAAGCGATGCCAGTACATTAAAAAAGCCCAGGGGAAACTGCATGGGCACAGTTATTGGTACTCTCCACATCAATGGAGTCACTGCTGGGAAATGATTCATCAGCTTAAAATTACAAAAGCAGTAGGTACAGCAGGTAACACCACAGGTGAGGAAATACTCCTGTTGAAGTTCATGTTCAATGCAGAAGTCCTCCTCACTTGTAGTATTCCTGCTAACTTTCTGTGATTGGTAGGTTCCCTTTTTGTCAGTTTGAAGAGCAACTTTGGCATAAAATCTCTGATGTCCCATGAGTGAGAGTTTCGATCCCAAGCATGGTAGATACGGCTTTTGGAAAGCATGGACATATAGATAAATAATGCCTGAAACTTGTCGGGTTTGTTATTGTTCATTTATTTATTTGCATGAAGATGGCTCCTCAGTCTGGTTTTACTTCCTGTTCTTCCACAGACTCCTTGCTAATAGGTCCCAAATATAAAAGTTATTAGAAAGTTCTGTTTTAAGACCACAATAATGATTGTGTGCTAGGCATTGATTTTGGCTTTTTGGAAATAGTAACAAATGATACAAACAGCTAGGAGATGCATTTTGTGCCCCTATGAATCATATCCTTGGAAAGGGAATATGTATAATAAATAATCACGTGTTAACAAAAAGGAAACAAGTGTTCTGTCAGCTAATTGAAGAGTTCCACATATGTTTAGATGGTACTTTAGAATAAAATTGAGGCTCTGGAGGCACGTTGAAGGAGTCAGACTTTATCAGTGAGAAAATGTGGCAGTGCCCTTACAAAAGAACTATATGGCAGATGTAAGTGAAGCCCCAAGAAGGGTGCAGAGATGCCTGGGACCTTAACATAACGTGTTCCTGAATGTGAAATTATTTGACGATAATTCAAGTACTCAGAACATGAATGAAGGTGGGTACAATATTGCTACAGTCTTCAAAAACCCAAGACAAGTGCACATTTCAATTCATGGGTCAGCTACAAAAGTAAATGAAAGCTGGTCCATAAGAACTTAGCACAAGAATTAGCTTGTAAACCTAATATTTTTCTGGGAGGTCCAAGGAGGCCTTCTGCAGTATTGCTGATATGCACGACAAATTGGCATTGCCATCATTACAAAGGCTGAGTGTCCACATTTAATTGATCAGCAGGAGGAAAGAAGCCCTTGGTAGTAAATTTTTAAACATGGGTCGTTAATCTGGTAGGTATAATCTAATATGAATACTAATAGAAGCAGGGACTTCCGGAAGGTATCAGAGGTTATGTACAAATACAAGACAAGAAAACACAGTGTTTCCTAAGACCTACAAATTGTTGAGAGGATGGTATCTAAATAGAAATGTAAGTGGGGAACTAGATTTGGACAACATGTGATTAGAACTTGCCTTAATATTGTAGCCTTTCTGGAGAAACAGGTAGGTTGTAACCATGATGATAATACGACAGCTGTCCAGATACCCATTCAAGCAGGCTGAGCCAAACCCAACAAAGACAATCCAGGGGGCCTTTAGATCCAGGCTGTGAGCACAACCAGGACACTTGGTGTGATGAAAGCCCTCTGCTGAGAGCTGGGCCAAGCTGAAAACATCAGGTCAAAAACATTCAGTCCACAGAGTCAGTGGGGCCCACAGTGCCATGCTCCAGTGTTAAATCCAGGTTTTCAGAATAGGCCATGGTCCTGGGACAGTAGAGTGCTGGGGCCCAGCCTGTTCAGGCCTCAAGGTCTCTGAAGCATGGACAGTGCAGGTGACAAATAAAGAGTCAGAAACCTGATTGGATGCCAGAGAACAGCCAGCCTCTGCCAGTCTGACTAAACTCAAAGAGTTAGATCTAAGCTTTTTTGTTTTTTAATAGAGGTTGTAATATGTCATTAAAGGAACAGGTGCTTGGCACAATCAGGTGATCAGAAAAAATCAGTACAGAGGGAACGAGGAAAAGTACGGGAAATGCCATGGATTCAGTTATGTTAAACAAAGGTTACTGTGACCAGGAGAGTCATCAATCAGACCATTAGAACTAGCTGTATGTACAGAACTGGGCCCTGTTAAGAGGCCCAGGGATGCACCCCCTGCAGCAGAGGCTGATTCGGGGAGAGACAATCCACACTCCTTGCCTTCTCCTGAATGGGTGTGCATCCCTGAGGAGGACGGCCATTCTTTTACTAAGCATGCATCCCTCTTTATTTCATTGGCTGTCCTGGTGCTGCTCCCTGGAGAGCGAGGCAGGGAGAGAATAGAGATTGGGAGAAGGGAGGCAGTCAGAAGAAAGAAATGGGGCAGGGGAGGCGACTGTGCACACACATTCAGAAGCCCTGCGCCCTTTCTTGACCCCTTGCCCCCTCAAGCACTGCTCCCTGCCTAGGTGGAGAACTTAGAGCATCCTTTCAGAGGCTTTTGACACTCGATGGCGGTGTTATTTCCTGTGATTGGGTGAGCTTTGGCCAAAAGGTCCACTGTGCATAGTGAACAGGGATGGCTTGGGACTCAGGTTTCAGGCGATAGAGACAGCCATAGCCATGCCCATAGTGGCCCTTGGCTCCCTAAGCGTTTTTCAGTACCAGCTCTCTCTTCTTAGTCATCTCTCCTTTGCCCGAGTTACTGCTTTTTTGCTTTGCACTGATACACAAAGTGAAGGGCAGAGGGTGCAGGGCTTAGCCTAGGGGCCTCATTTTGGGGGCGCAGGACTGCGAGACCCTAAGTGAGAGCACTGCTGCAGATTTCCTATGACTAAGGGGAAGCCACTGGGGAAGCAGTTGTGGTGTGATCCCTGGTTTCCTTTGCCCTTTTCCCCTCCCGGCTGCGGTTTACTGCGCCTGCGCCTTCCCCTGAGCCTTCCCCTTACCCTGCGCCTGAGCCCGGTGCAGCCATTGGCCTCCCTACTTCCTCTGGGGATTGGTGCCAGCAGCTGACATCCGGGTTCTTGGCTTCCTCACAACCTCAGCCCCTGCATGTGGGCGCCGCTCTTGGCTGGGCTGGAGTGGCGGCCCCTGAGGGTAGTCTCCAGGCCAGACTTCCGTGAACCTGAGGGGAACAAGGTATGGATTCAGAAATTCTCAGGCAGAGTACACCTCCTGCCTGAGCAGATGTAGAGCCGGGTCCACTCTCCCCTGTGCACAGGGAGTGAGTGGCAGTGCACACCTTCATTTTGTCAGGCTGTCTCAGTGTCTTCCCCTCGCAGCAGGCTCTGTGTTTCCATGTAAAGGTGCAAGCGCTCCTGGTTTCTGGAGCAGTGAGCAGTGGCTTTACTGCCCCCTCAGGTCCTTTGCAGGCAAGAGGAGAAGCAGAGGAGCTCCTGTGTGTTGTGCCTGGGTGTGGGCGGGGACTAGACAAAATGCCTGCAGGGCTGCCTGTGCCCAGGAGCACTAGGAAGGGAGTCCCCCAGGGCAGCTTAGAAAGTCATTTTCAGGGAACTCGGGAGCCCTCTTTGCTGAGGACATTGGATTTTCCATGTGGCGTTGAGGGCCTCTGGTAGTGCATTCTTTGGCGACAGAATGCCCGGGTGCCTCCTGCTTGTGTGTTGGCTCGGGGCGGTTCAGCTCTAGGACAGTAGTAATGACTCCAAAGAAGACAGCAATTGCCCTGGCTGGTGTGGTTCAGTGGTTGGGGCCAGGGCTGCAAACCAAAGGGTTGCGGGTTCCATTCTCAGTCAGGGCGCATGCCTGGGTTGAGGGCCAAGTCCCCCAGTGGGGGCCACATGAGAGCCAACCACACACTGATGTTTCTTGCCCTTCATCTATCTCTCTAAAAGCAAGTGAATTTTAAAATAAATATGCCAATTACTTAAGCACTGCAGAGTAAAAATTGCCCTTTTATTTATCAGAGGGCAAAAACTTGATTCACGTAGGAAGAATCTGCAAATTGTAGGAATAGTTCAAAGCCTCAGCTGCTGCTTTCAAACTGTGTCAACATTAGCAGCCCCGGCCTCAACCTACCTCTGCCCAGGCCATGCCATGCTGTTAGTTTCCTGTTTTGAAGACCCTGGGAAGTACAAACTGTCTTTCAGATTCTTTTTTTCCCACTTTCTTTTTTTTTCTTTAATTGTTGTTCAAGTACAGTCTTCTGCCTTTTACTCCAATTCCAACTCCACCACCCCACCCTGCATCCCCCACCTCCCCCCATGCTCCCTCCCACTTCCACCCAGCTTAGTCCTTGTCCACATGTCCTTTATACTTCTTCCTATAAAGCCTTGCCACTTTCCTTGAAATTCCTTCCCCTCTCCCCTCTGGCCAGAGTCCTCCTTTTCTCTACTTCAGTGTCATGGGTTATATTTTGTTGGCTAGATTGTTTTGTTGTTTAGCCTCCTCTCAAAGGTGAGACCTTCACATTTCTTGTCATTGGTAACCAGTGTAATGGCAGTTGACTGGGGGGTATACAAAGTACTTGTGGAAGACTCTTAGGAGATGAACCATTTGAAGGGTGAGTCCAGAGAGGTTGCAGTGCCATTACTCTCTTCACTTTCAAAGATACAAGTTTTAAACAACCCAGCACTTCTTTTTGTACAAGTTCGGTCTAGTGTACTGCAGCTCATAATCACAGCAATATACCAAACCAGCCTCATGTGGAAGGTCTTGCCAGTTGTCTAGAAAATGGCAGCATTTTTTCATCAGGTAGTGCTCATTGTGCTGTGCAGGTTTCAAGTTTTACATAACATTTCTTAAAGTAAGCTTCTAAATAATGTTGACTCAAATAGTTAAAGAGCTGTTTGATAAAATTTGTGTCTTCTTGTAATATATATTCTTTGCTCTGTGTATACCTTTAACCCCTCACAGCACAATGGTGGAGGCAGGTGAGCCTGGCAAGCTGTTCATAGGAGGCCTGAGTGTGGAGACCAATGAAAAGACTCTTGGAGCACTGTTTGGCAAATTTGGACCCCTAACAGAAGGTAACTCTTAGAACCAAGGTGCCTGTGTTTCACTTTAAAGAGATCGTACCTGCTTATGCCATGCACTGGTTCAATAAATACTATTTCGGGGAGCCTGGCACTTACATGAACAATTTCCTCAAGTTCCTCTCTTGTCCTGCAAAAGCATCGGGAGCCATGAGATAATGGTCTTTTTACTGCTGACTTACTCATGGTAAAAAGTTGAAGTAGTAAATGTACTATGCTGGTGGAACATGACTTGGGGAATGTATAGCTTAACTAAAGACTCTGTTCACTGTATGATCTTAGAACAGCAACATGATGTAAAACACTGGCAGTGGTATTATTTTTCCATGAATTTCAGAAGGTTGTTACCAGTTGGTGTCCCTTTTGTCCAGGGAAGTTGATTTGTGAGAAAATCCCAAGAGACCGACTTTGTTGAAAACAGCAAAGGTTAACTCTTATGTCCCATATTAACATCTATATTTACAGTTCTTTTGATAAAGGATCGAGAAACGAACAAGTCCAGAGGATTTGCTTTTATTACTTTTGACAGCTGTGAGGATGGTGCAGATGCTGAAAAACATACCAATGGGAAAGGAAGTGTTTGAATGATGATCTAGTTGTGTACTTCAACTAAGAGTGTAAGGGAGGAAAATTGCTGAAGCAGGAAATTGCAACCCCCTGCACACATTTCTTGTCATTGTCTCTGTTACATGCTTACTGCCTAGCAGGCAGCTTGCCATCAAAGAGCATGTTTTTATAAGAATCTCATGAACTACCTTCACAATACACAGGCCCAGACTTTTGGCCTTTCTGGCTCCTGCACATGTGTTGGTCTTCAGTCCTGGAGCCAGAATCACAGAAAGCCAGTATGACGGGAAGGCAGCATGCCCCACACTGGGCCCCCAGGGTCCTCATGGAAGTGTTCAGTGCTGCTCTTGACAAAGAGAACTTTGCCAATCTCCTTCTTCTGTTCCACACTCTCTCCTCCTAAAATGCTTGTTTACACTAGGAAGTGCGATGGGCTTGGTGACATGGGTTGCCCGTTCTTGCAAGGGAGATGTGTTTTGAGAAGTGAGTCCCCAGGCTTCCAGGTGTCCAGCCCTTGCACAGACCACTCTCTTTACATCAGCACCTCTGTCTAGTACTGGGTTTGGGAGTGGCTGTATGTGAGTCCACTTTTCCTTCCCACAGCATACTTAGATAGTTTCCTTTCTTTCAATTTGAAAGGGTAAGAATGCCACTGATGTCAACATTAATTTTCCATCACTGTTCTCCTGGTCACAAAAATACTGCCATTTGGTTGGTAGATTGACATAAAGGTTACAATTGGTAACCTGCCACACTAAATGTATTTTGCATTGGCATGGAAACTTTACTAGACTTTTGGCCTTCAAGAGCTTTAAAATGTAAAATTATGCCTCGCTAAGTTTTGATTAGAGCATAAATAAAGATAGTGTTCCTAAGTTCTTTTGCAACCTAGGTATAAAATATTTGTGCTCTTGCATAAAAAAAAAAAGACCAGGGAGAGCAGTAGAGAAAGACGACTTCCCATTATTTTGGGAAGAAATGCTTGAAACATTTTTATTGAAGGACACCCTTTCTATTCTTGTTGGTGCCCAAATCTCAGGGAAAGGTTTGGCATGAAGCAGTGGAGGGCGGGAGTCCTAAGTAGCTGAACCTCCTGCCCAGATCATTGCTCTTTTGTGCTTAACAAAATCGCATGCTGTGAGGAAAGTGATTTTGTAAAATGCACCCATCACAGTGATTTGTGTCACCACTCTGGTCCAGAGTTTATTCTGATCAGACTTTAGTGTAGTAATGAATTCGAGAGTCTCCCTTTTTCCCTTCACAACCCTAAGACCTTGACATTCTCTGTCTTCCTTAGACCCTATAAACTCTTCAGTGATTGTTAAATGTGATTGCCCTATTATTCCAGGGAAAGGCACTCAATTCAAGACGCTTCCTTAGGTAGTTGTCCCCATAGGTTTTCCGACTCTGATAGCGGTTTCTGTTCCTCTCTGAGATAGTTCCAATTCTTCATGCCATTATTTTAAGTCTTACTTGATGGTTTTTGTTAAGAGTCACACTACCAGTGACAGCCTTACCAATAGAAATTGCTACTTCATCAACCGAGGTTGTAAACTTTGTCCAAATTTTGTTTCCTTTGGTATTTACGTGGTTTGCACATGTACTCATTATACCACTCACAACTGCTTGTTGTGAAAGCAGTTTCAGTGCTCTGCAGTAAAATGAACGTGTCTGACCAAACTTCTATTTTTGAAGCAGCTTGCTTTCTGCTACAGACAGTAAGTAGTGAGCCCTTTACATTATCTTCATATTGGAAGGTTTGGTAGCACCTAAAAGTTGGGCATGGCTCCTGATTTTGTGTTGGGTACAGAACTCTGTGGTCTTGTGATGAGTGGTGGAGATGAAACCTGTTTTCCTAGCTACCAGCAGGAGAAATGTAGCTTGTGTACACACTGTCCCTTAACTTCCCTCATTCAACAGCTCTTTTAGTGAGGGTGGGTTGTGTGCAAGGCAGTGATGTGTCAACGGAGACACATTTTGAATGAGTCAGAGTTCGCGGAATAACGTGCACACACATGTTAGGTAGTAACCAAAGGAAGATAGTTTAGTTAGAGGATGTGGGTAGAGTAGGTAGTGTTTGTGTTCATGAAAGCTGGGGGATAGTAGCTGAATCTTGAATCCTGGGATGAAGGCTGTCGTGCAGAATTCTGTGGAGAAAGTCCAGGCTTCAAGAACAAGGAAAGAGGCCTTCAGGTGGTTAGTGGCCCCTTGTGTCTATTTACATTGGTTAATCCCAAGTTTGGCAGAAGGACTAGTGGAATGTATGACTTCACCTTCCTTTAGAAAAGTAATACCAAAATACTAGCCCTGGCTGATTTGGCTCAGAGGATTGAGGGCCGGCAATGGACTAAATGGTCCCTGTCTCTATTCCCAATCAGGGCTTGTGCCTGGATGGTCAGCCTAGTCAAAGTAGGTAGTCATGGGAGGCCAGCACACACCCACGTTTCTCTTTGTCTATTTCCCACCCCAACACTTCACTCTCTCTCTAAAACTAACCTTAATAAATTGTGAAAAGGAATTGCAGACAACCAAAGTGCTATATACGGAGCAGCTGCTATGACCCAAATTTAGTCTTTAGTTAAGAAAAAACCTCTTGAAGTCATGGGGAAATGAAGAAATTAAAGCATACATTCTCCTTGAAAATCCACTAGTCAAGGTCATGGTTTAGGGATTTTTGTCAGTTATTATTTATTTCCCTCTTTCTTTACCTTTTCATTTTATAGGTTTCAGACAGGGAGGAAGTCTGGGATAAGGAAAGATAAAGAGATAACCACAGTTTGTTATTGCATTTGTTTATGCATGCATTAGATGATTCTTGTGTGAGCCCTGATCAGGGACGGATCCCACAAACTTGGCCCATCAGTATGATGCTGTAAGCAAATGTGGAATCCAGCCAGTGTGGGAGGAGACATATTGAAATCAAAAGGAATGCATAAAGCAAAATAACAGTACACTTTATGGAACATTCGTCTTTCAGTGAAGAAAAATGTGAGGCAAATTACATCTATAACAAACACAGAACTGCAATTGTACTGGGGAATACTTGTAAATCTAACAAAACCAATGACAAATATGTTGAAGGCTATGCCTTAAACAGTGAATCATTTTGAATGGATAACTGAGTAATTCATTTTCTAAAGAACACACTTCTTAATACCATTGAATTTCTGGGAAAATTTAAAGAATGGAGGAAGTGCAGAAAGAAAGTAAGATAAACACTGCAGGAAATAATGCCCATATTTCCTCTAGGTATGTGAGTTTTATTAGTCTTCCTCTTTTACTACTGGAGAGCTCTTGGTGCATCTTTAAAAATATATATATTTCTGAGTTGGGTGACTAATGGAAAGCAGTTCCTACTTCCCAAGTCTTTTGAATGTGGCAGGGTGAAATACTCCAGCATATCTGAGGAAGACATTTGCTTGGGAGAGAGATGCTTGGTATCTGACTTTGATTTAAGTCACTGTGATAATTAGGTTTCTGAAAGCTGTCCCTGTGATTGTGTCATTTTAAGGTAATGCCATTGATTTGTGTAATCTTTCTTGCCTTTAGATGGGAAAACACTTAAAGTACAGCAAGCCAACACACCATCTTTTCAAAGTCGTGGTAGACAGTGGTTACCAGTAACTTCCAGAAGCAGAGGAGGTGCAAGAAGCCTGCAAAGTGGAAGAGGAGCAGGTGGTGAAGGCAGAGAGCATCCCTCCAGAGGAACACACTTGGGTAAGGTTTTAAAGTATAAAAGATGCCACCATAGGAGTGCAAAACTATAAGTTTGCCCCGATGGACATACATCAGTTTGTATATAAATTTTCCCAGCAAAATACAATTTATGTTTCATGAGATTGGGAATCCACATAGATGATGAAAATGATTTGCAAGTGCAGTGCTCTCTAATAGTTATGAAAGCAACTGAAATAGGTAGTGTGCACACTATCTTGAAAAACTTGCATTGAAATGACATAAACGTCAAGCTAAGTGCAATCCATTTTACCACTACTTATAAGTTGACCCTGGATCCTGAGTAATGCACAGCAAAAGACTAAGAAAACTCTCTTTTGCAACATAGGTGTATGTATTGTCTGGGGTTATTGATCAAGATACTCCCGAATCAGCCGTGGCTGGTGTGGCTGTGTGGGTTGTGTTCCTGGCCTTGGAACCAAATGGTCAGAGGTTCCATCCCCAGTTGCAGGCATTGCCTGGCCTCTGCCTGGGTTGGAGGCCAGATCCCAGTTGGGGGTCCCGCGAGAAGCAAACACACATGGATGTGTCTCACTGGGTCTCATCCCTTCTCCTTTCTAAAAATAAATAAATGAAATACCTAAAAACAGATATGCATGACGTATAGCAAGGGAAGTTTTATTTTGCACTCAGTATGAAAGGAAGGCTCCTTTCATTTTGAAAGAATCCATATATCAGACGAATTCTGTTTTATGTCTCTAACCACTCTTCCCAAATCAGAGAGTTACCTCCTCTACTTGAAAAGTAGATGTGAGATTCTTTTTTTTAAAGATTATATTTATGTATCTTCAGAGGGGAAGGGAAGGAGAGAGGGAGAAAAATGTTAATGTATGGTTGCTTCTCATGCATCCCCTTAGTGGAACTGACCTGCATATTTTGTACATAAGGATTCCACCTTCCTTTAATCTTTGGTAACATCTCTTATGTGATATCTCTTCCTTTGAGGATTTTGGTGTTTTTGTAACTCTGAGGTTCCCGATTCCAAAGCTTTTTGTAACATTCAGTAACAGGAGCAGCTCTTTGCTACTTATCCCATGTGTTTATAAATGACCTCTCCATGAATTTATATGGACTTCTCAGTACTCCCTTTTTCACCTCAAATCTGTTACTCTCAAACTCCAGTGCGGTGCTGCTTGCATTGATTACCCTGGGCCTCACGAATAGACTTATGTCATTAGTCAGTCAATAATTGTTATGTCACAGAAGGAGACAATTTAAAAGCATAGAGTTATGGGAGAGCTGAAGACTATACCATTGGGTAGAGTATGACTCTAAAATATAGGCAAATCTTGACCACTTGAGAAATGTTGATTTTACCTAACCAAAAGCTTGCTGTTGACACACAGATGAAGGTGGCTATGCTCTTTATCTGAACCCAAGTTCTTCCAGAAGACACGGTCCACATGGAAGGGGTCCACGTTCACGGAGTGGACACCTCCTTCCTCCAAAATCTGCCACTTCTGCTTCAAGACGAAGAAGTCCAGGCATGGGAAGACGAGGTAAATGACATCTAAGGCAAAAAGAGTAGTTTCTCATGGATTAGAAAGGGTTATTTGAAAATTAATGGTTGCCAGTACCAAGAAGCCAAAGGGAAACTGCATGGGCATAGTTACTAATCTCCTGCTTATGGGAGTCCAGGTTGTGAAATGACTCTTCAGCTTGTAGTTAAGAGATGCAGTGGGTACAACAGTTAACACACCACGGCAGGGAAAATGTTCTTATGAAAGTTCGCATTTGTTGAAGAAGCCCTCTTCACCTGTAGTGTTCCTGCTCACTTTCGGTGATTGGTAGTCTTGTTTCCCAGACATTTTGAAGATTAACTTTTGCATGAAATCTCTGACATCCTGTGAGTGAGGGCTCCAGTGAATAGCACGATAGGATATGGCTTTTGAACAGCCTGGCCATGAAGGCAAATGACAGCTGACTTTTGCCAATATGGAGGTATAATTGGAGAAGCTGTGCTTTCTCACACAAGCATGTTTTGAGACAACAAAATATTAGCAACAGAAAACACAGCCAGAACACAGAAAACTGAACTTTTCGAAAGTCTGATAACAACGAATTCTTCAGCCTTACCTGTAAGAGGAGAGAAACCAGCAGCTGGCTGAGCTGCTTGCACAGGAAAACTTGATCAGAGGGACTCAGGCTTGCAATTCCAAGTGTGGGTTTGCAAAGGGCGTACGCAGTGAGCGACCCAGTGAGCGACCTGCGGATCCCTGAGAGTGAAGGGCGGCAGGTTGACTGTGCTGGTGCTTTCCTGCGCAGATAGACTGGTGAGGGAGTTGGCAGTGAGACTGAACGAAGCAGGTCCCAGCCACAGGAGGCAGCAGAGACTGCCGCCATTTCCAGGCTCTGACCCCACCCCCACATATAGTTACACAACCTACCTCCCTGAGTGACCCTACCTTGGTGAACACCTAAGGCTTCCTTCCTCACCCAGCAGCAGAAAGAAGGAGAAGGGGACACCATCTTGCCATCTTCCCACTCTGGCCACACAACCACATACAGCATCACAACCCAGGGACCCCACCCTGGAGGCCCACCCCACCCATAAGGCTACCATCCTCATATTTATTGGGTGTGAACAGACCAAAAATGGCTCAAGAAGATCTGAAAGCCCCAGAGCCCATAAATCTAAGTGACGAAGAAATAGAGAAACTTTCAGATGCACAGTTCAAAACACTGGTGATCAGGATGCTCACAGAACTGGTTGATTTTATTCACAAATTAGAGGAATATATGAAGGCGAAACTAATTGAAATGAAGGGCAATGCACAGGAAAGCAGTAGTAATGGAAAGGAAACTGGGACTCAAATCAAAGGAGTGGACCAGAAGGAGGAAAAAATGACCAACCAGAAGAGAATGAAGAAACAAGAATTTAAAAAACTAGAGATTTAGCAACCTACAGGACATCTTTAAACACTCCAACATCCGAATTATCGGGGTACCATAAGGGGGAAAGGAACAGCCATCAGTGGAAAATTATTTGAACAAATAATAAAAGAGAACCTTCCCAAATGGCAAAGGAAAAAGACTTCCAGGAAATTTAGGAAGCTCAGAGAGTCCCAAAGAACTTGGACTGAAGAAGAAACACACCAAGGCACATCATCATTACATTATCCAAGATTAAAATGAAAGAGAGAATCCTAGAAGCAGCAAGAGCTAAGGGGATAGTCACCTACAAAGGAGTTCCCATCAGAATGTCAGCGGATTTCTCAAAAGAAACCTTACAGGCAAGAAGGTGCTGGAAAGAAGTATTCCAAGTCATGAAATCCAAAGACCTACAACCAAGATTGCTCGATCCAGCACAGGTCTAATTTAGAGTGGAAGGACAGATAAAGTGCTTCTCAGATGAGATGAAATCAAGGAGTTCATCATGACCAAGCCCTTATTATATGAAATGTTAAAGGGACTTATCTAAGGAAAAGAAGATAAAAAGTATGAACAGTGAAAGTACAGCAAACTCACAGTTATTAACAACCATATCTAAAACAAAAGCAAGCTAAGAGGACTGCTAGTTCAGGAGCAGAATCATAGAAATGGAAATCTCATGAAGGGTTAGCAACAGGGGAGTTGGAGAAGGGGGGGAAGGTGCAGTATATAAGTAGCATAGACAGATGGTAGGTAGAAAATAGATGGGGGAGGGCAAGAATAGTATGGGAAATACAGAATCCAAAGAACTTGAGTCACATGGTCATAAACTTAAGGGGTGAATAGTAGTGGTGGAGGGGTCCAGGGTCAAGGAGAATTATGGGGGGGATAGATTAACTGTAATGTCATAATACATAAAATAAAAATTTAAAAAAAGGTAAAGGGCAGCTGAAACTTGATGTTTTAGTTACTGTTCAGTTGTTTGAATGCATCATTATGGCCTGTTGTGTCAGAATCTTGTCTGCTGTTCTTCCACAGAAACCTTGCTAATGGTCCCCTAACCTAAAAGTGATTAGAAAGTTCCACTTCCAGATCACAATAATGATTGTGTGCAACTCATTGATCTTGGATGTGTGGGAAATCTAAGAAATGATATAGGTACTGACAAGATGCATTCTCTGCTTCTGGGAATGATCTCTTCAGGAAGGGAATATGTGGGATAAGTAATTACATCTTAGTGAGAAGAAAACACATATTTCATCAGGCAGCTGAAGACAGTCCCTTGTGGGTTTCTAAGGTATTTTAGAATCAGATTGAGGCTCGGAAGGCAGGTGGCAATTTCAGCAGACATTTTCAGTGACAGCGCATGCCAGTGCACTTACCTGAGAAGTAAGTGAAGCCCTAGAATTGTTGCAAAGATCTCTTGAAGGGTAACACAATGCCCCTGAACTTGAAGTTAGTGGAGAGATAATCTGAGTATTCATAACATGAAGGAAACCGAGCATAGTGTTGCTGGAGCTTCAAAAACCCATGATGGGCACACATGTCAATTCATGGATCAGGCAGTAAACAAAGTAAGTGACAGGCCAGTCTATAACAATTAAGAATAAGAATTAGAACCTAAAGCTAATGCAATTTATGGGAGATAGAAAGCTATTGCTGTTAGGCACTAGAAATTTATATTGCCATCATTGCAAAGGCTCCGGGTACTCATTGAATTGGTCAGCAGTAGGAAAGAGTCATGCCCCTGCTGAGAATTATTGAAATATACTTGGAGAATTGGCATGCATTGTCCAATGATAATAGTAACATGCAGAGGGGTTTCTGGCCATTTTAGAGGTTATGTAGCAGCAGGAGACAAGCAAATGTGCTGTGTCCTAACATCTAAAAATAGTTGAGAGTGTGGGATCTGAGTTGACATGTCTGAATTAGATGGGAAATAGATTTTCAAAACAGGTGATCAGAACCCAACTTAATATTGTGTGGCCTTTGAGGAGCAATGGAAAAGTTGTAAGGAAGACAGCAATAACACAAGATTTCAGTGTAGAAGGGAATTATACTTCATCAAGGGGAGTCCTATCAAGCAGAAAGGGCAAAGGGAAAAATAAGAGGCTTTTTAGTAACCTAGGCAAGTGATTGATGGGTACTCAATGAATATAGAGAAGGAAATCTGGTGTGGAAAGGGTTATGGAAAGTATGTGTACTTTGTTCAGGTTTCTGGGAGGCTCTATGTTCAGGTGGTACTTTAAATGTTATGCAGAATGTAGTGTATCTGAACGACATTAGAAGACAACACATCCAGAAGGATATTTTAAAGACCAAAAAAGAATAAGCATGAATGGCACCATAGAGTAATGTTTTTAAAGAAATGAGTTCATCTAAAGGAACAGGATGGGAACTTTCGTGTTTGTTTGAAACATTACTCTCAGCTTTGGTGTACTCTCCTAACCACATTTGTATCCATGTGTCAGCACCACGTGAGAGAGACAACAAAGGAGATACTCCCTGCAATGAGCCAAGGTATTCGCAGAAAGGTGACTACAGGTTGTCCAGAGACAGTGCCTACCCTACAAATTATAGGTAAGGGAGAAACTAAATATACACAGTTGCTTTGCAATCGGAATTTCTTGTTTTTGAGGGGCAATTCACCTGTCACATGTTCAAATATTTTGCAAGGGCAAGTAAGTGTCATAGAGTGTACGCAGTGTGTTGTGCCACCACTACCGTGCTGGTGCCCTGTTAACAGTGATTTGCTTCAGTGCCAGAGGAGATGCTGTGCCCTTACACACTCATACCACTTTCTCCCTTACCACACTTTCTTTCAGACACCAGTTTCTCTCCTGCCTCTGTTGATATACCTATTCTCAATATGTGCTGCTCTTGGGACCACACAATACATGTCCTTTTGTACCTGACATGTTTCCATTAGCAGAAAAGTATGCATGTGTCCTGAATCTGTAGAGCCCACCTTTCAGGGCTGAATAAATATTTCAGGGCTGAATGAATGAGTTCTGCCCCAGTACTGCTGTGTGCATTCGCGTACAGGTATTTGAGGACATGTATCCAGTTGTTTCTGGGTGGGTAGTTTGGAGTGGAATTTCTGGGTCATGTTGTAAGAATGAGTAGTAGATGTGGTTGTTTATGGAATCTGCAGTGTTTCTCAGAGCAGCTGCACCATTTCAACCTTTGTGTTTCAATGCACAGGATTCCAGTTCATCTAGATCCTCACCAAGCCTAGATATTTTCCTTTTCAAACACTGTAGCCGACTTTGTAGTAAATACAAGGACAGTGTTACCTCATCTTTGTGTAGGTTTGCATTTTCCTAATGACAGGTTACCTTGAGCACTGTCTCACATGCTTGTGACTGGTTGTATATCTCCACCCGAGAAATGTCTATTAAAGTCTTTGGTCATTTAAATGTTGTTGTTTACTTGTATCTAGAGGTTCTATATATTGCAGCTCTGCAAAGGTGCATTTGTAAAGGTTACTGCCTTGTGTACTTCAGTTATTCGCCCAGAGGTTATCCGAGTTTCCCAGACACCAGGCATGACCGGGACTATGGGTATAAGGGCTGCTGGGATGAGCGTTTCCATGGGAGATACAGGTATTCTAAATATTTCCCTTTTTTATCAAAGAGCTGATTGCAACTCTTAGCCTGGAAACAGTTAACAGTGTTTTGTTTTATTTTAGCAGTCGACATGGCTATGGTGGGGATCCTGACAAAGCCACTTCTGACTGTGGAAATGGAGGCTCTTACAGAAATTCATTTAAGCGTGATGGTAAGAGTGCAGTTATGGATTGTAAACCTTACAATTAGATTCAGTAAGCCAAAAGGTTATGTACTTGATTTTTGACACAGATCCAAGCTGAGACAGCTACCTGTAGTATGATCTTTTCATTCCTCTGAAGGTCTTTGCATGATTTTCCCAGTAGCTCATGTAAAAGCACACATTGGTTTGCAGAGTAAGGGGGCAGTCTCCTTTCTTTGCCTTACTAAGTGTTTCTTGTATATTCAGATATTGTTGACACTATGTCACAGGCCTCCAGTTTCCCTCCCCTTAGGCCACCTCCACCCAGCCCCTGTGCCGGGACCCCAAGCCCTTCACCACATTTAGGCCTGTTTCCATGGGCTCTGCATATGTGTGTTTTGCCTGATCTGTATTTTAACATTTCCTCAAAGCAAGGAGTATTTTACTGAACAAAGGGCAGGAGCAAAATGACATTCAGAGTGTCAGCCCAAGGTCATAAAGAATGAATGTGTCTGTCTGAACAGTGGCTTTATATCCTCAGGTTAGGCAGGAGAAGATCACTGTTTAGGTTTTTGTATTAACTGAGTTTCACAACTGCCTTGACCCCTTCAGAATAAGTACTGATGTCTCAGCAGAGGCTGAGTAAAGTGTATGGCTCCCAAGGGTTCATTCAGTGCTTTCCCCGGGTCATGGTTGAATGATACAAAAATTTAAAACATGATTGCCATCTTGTTGTTTGGCCATGGACTTTGCAGGTCGCTGGCATGCAGCACCACCTCCAGGAAGGCCCAGACTGATGTCCACTGGAAGCAGGAGCTACGATGACCACTGTAGCAGCAGGCAGACTGATTGCCAGAGAGGTTGTGAAAATTACTTGAGCAGAGGGCGTGATAGCTGGTGCAGGGGTTGTGGGCATGGGGGCAAATGTGACCCAGGGTTTTCACCTCCTGTGTGGCAGGATGCACCCTTCCATAGGGAATGCTGTAGAAGCTCTAACAAGGGGGCTTTGCCCATGGATTCATGGGGAAGCTGATGTAAAACAGGTCCTTGAACACATGTTGGAAGACAACAGTAGGTCCTGTACCAGGTTTCCTTCCCACAGAGAAAAACCAAGTGCCACTGCTGGGATCCTTGGGTAATATTGCTAAAAGGAAAATGTTGGTTTGGAGAAGACAAAGGAGGTGAATGGGTGACACTTGTTTTGTTCGTGCTAAAGTGATGAAAAGAATGGAATTTAAATGTCCAGTAGCTAGCTTGTTCAAGTTCCCTCAATAAATGTTTGTACACACTGTCTCATTTTGTCTGATTTCACTTCTTATGTATCCTTAATGCAATTACCTGGGAGGGTGGGATTCACCTTTGTCCTAAATGTTCCCTGTTAACATTGCTGCCTACAAAATGAAGTGCTGTGTTTCTTTTTCATCACCCACTGTACCGCTTTCTTGCTGAGAAGCTAAACAAACTATATATTGCTCTTTGAAAGCCGAACCATGTACGAAGCTTGGAGGAAGCCGGTGGCAAGGGCACAAAACCATCTTTTCCTCAAAGACTGTGACTCTTGGAATGTGTTAAATATTATAATGGAATAGTGTAGTGGCCTTAAAAGGCTGATGGGGACAGATACAAATGGTTTAACACATCTACCAAGAAGCATCCATTTTCTTATTGAAGTTAAACTAGCACATGCCTCTGTGGAATAAACAGAAATCACACCAAGTTTCCTACTGAAATCAATAGGATCAAGTTAACTTTGCCAAGAATGTATTCCATGGGAAAGAATTCAAGGACCCCCAGTGTGGAGAACATGCTGCATTTTGCAATCGCTCCTTAACATTTCTTGAAGTGTATTGAAATTGATGTAACTCAGTGGTTTTATCAGAATGCTCTCACAAATAGTGATTTATCTGCAAGGGTGAGAATTGAATTTCTCACTGCTGAGTGCTGGTGATGATCATGAACAGGAGTGGTTTCACAAAATCCATTTCTTGTTGGACACTTGTGGGTATAAAGTTTTATCAAAAACATTCCAACTTCAACTTCCAGAATTTTCTGAACATGTTGTGGCTGTTTAAAAGTAGGGTATTATTTAAGGAAGTATGCTAATGAAATTCCTGGGATTGTGCAAGTCCTGGGACCTCAGATGTAAGAGGACTTGAAAATCTATCATATGCAATTGAAAGGTCAAAGAGTAAACAGCAAAGGTGCAAGAGCAAGGGGACTGCACAGTACGGATGGATAGGTACCAAATCATCATGGGGATCGACAGTGCAGCACAGGGGACAGTCCATGCCATTGTCATAAGTGTGCATGGTTTCAGGTGTGTCCTGGAAATATCAGCGGGCACCCATTGTAAATGTACAATTGTCTGGTCACTGTGCTGCACACCTGAAACTCATTCCAAGTAACCTTCACCAAAAAGTGCTAGGGATACTATGGTAAACAATATTACTGGAGCAAAAACTGAAGCAATGTTCCCAAGTGTGCACCTTACTGAGGAAAGTGCTTTTGGTGAAGAATTTGTGACTTAAAAATACTGACAAAGTCATGAAAGAGGAAGGACTTCTCTCTAGGTGTAGGCATGGGAGGAGATCACCAAGAGAAACAAGTAAATTTAGTTCATCATCCAGCACATTTTTTCTTTGAACAACTTAACTGACAGCCAAATTGTTTGAGATGATAGACATTCAAGAACCCAAGTGTGACTGGAAATGGATGGGGGTGGGGGGTGTGGTGCGGGATGGGGAGCAGGCAGAAATCCCCACTACCTATACTTGCAAGTGCCAACTCTTGAACAGAAAGGTGCGATGGACTTGAAATGAGTCCACTGTTTTCCCAGGTCACAGCACCTGATAAAACTCTTTTAGTTTTCACCAGCACCTGTTTCAAGAGTTTGGCATTTGTTGAAGCAGGCAGCTGAAACTGCATTTTAGGTACAATATTTGGCAAGTAGGTGGGGCCACCTGGACCTCAGTACATCCCAGTTGGCTGAGGATGAGGTGCTGGATATGTGTGACAATCCAGCCCCAGGAGTGGAACTGTGGAGACTTCCCAGAAGATGTCGAGAGCTTTCTTTGGGAATTTTGCTGGGGATGGCCTATGGCCAGAAAGAGGAAGGGTGGGCACCTCGGAGAGGCATTTCTCCCTCCCCCTCCACTCTTCCCTGAAGGTGGATGAAGGCGGTGATCACTGCCAGCTCCTACAACACTTTCCCAGTAAGCCCTGCTTCTTCTATGATGTGATTGTGAAGGACTATCTCAGTAGCCTCCCTACTATGTGCAGGTTCCCTGAATGAGTGGCAGAAGCGAGTGGGTTGAAGGTGAACGCCGGCGGTCCTCTTTTCAACTGCCCCTCATCCTGCAGGTTCTAGGGTGTCTTCCTGCCCTTCCACTTCATGGCACAAGCTTGAGGATCCAGAGGCCTACAGCTGTACATCCCACACCAGCAGCCCTGAGCTCTCTAAGCATAGTTTGCTTCTCTAACCACAGCTGGGCAGGATGCAGCCAGGATAGCAGAGGTGAGGCCATCCTGGCAGTGCAATGGAGATTCCTGGTGTGTTCCCCAGCAGTCGGGATTTGGATCAGGGCTCCTCCCCTCCTCGCCTTTCCTGTTTCCTCTAGTGGAGCATCTGAAATGGCCTGTGCTCCAATCCTCTGAAGTCCTATGTGAGGACGTGGGCAGCAGAAGCAGAAGAGAAAGGACAGGTGAGAAAACCATGGCCAGCAGACTGTGGAGGGGTACAAGGCAGCTGGACCATTTTATTCCCCAACCTGGCCCACTGAGGCAGGGAGGGCTCAGGCCCAGGGACCAGGTTCACCAGGTCATCGGGGTAAAGTGGGAAGCCTGGAGTGGACCTCCATTCCATTCCAAATGGGAGCCTGCACCATATCACTGGTGTGCTGCAAGTTGCCTCCTGCCTGGGGGAGCCTGACATGGACCAAGGACTGTGCATGTCCAGAGTATCTCAGAACCAACAGTGACTCCTCAAATCGGCTACCCTGACCTCTCCCTCCAGGCCACGCACACCCCCCTCTGACCCACCTTCCAGCCATTGATCCTTGGCCTGCCCAGTGTTCTTCCCACCTGCATTCCCACACATGTGTAGTAGGCGTGTGAGATTCCTGAAGCCCCAGCTGTGTCCTCTTGTGATCTGCACAGCCACCTTGGTTATGCTTGGGTATGTGTCCTGTGCACCCCACCCACCAGTGAACCCTGGTCATTAAGTGGAGGCAGTGGAGGAATGTTGTGAACACATGGGGGAGAGTGCATTCAAGTGGTCCTAGGTGCAGATCAGGCTCTGCAGACACCCGGGGTCTCAAGCAGCGGAGGAAGTGGAGACGGACAAGAATTGGGCTGCAGAACTGGCCCCACTGAGGTCAGAGGAGAATTCAGATGGGGGCAGGGCACAGCCACACTGGAAGAGCTGGAGGCCCTCCAATGGTAGCTGAGGTCTGACAGTGCTGGAGACCAGAGGGACTACTTTCTTTGAAGTGGACCAAGGCCCACTGGCAGAAGCTCATTGTTTTCACAGGGTTTGTCTGTGATTCTGTCTATTTAATGGATCATGTAGCCTGACTTGCTCATATGCAGACCCAGTTCCTTACAGTGAAGAAAACTTTTCCATTGCAGAGACATTCCTGAAAGTTTATAGTAGTCTTGCTCAAGCTCACCACCATGCTCCCCACCTGAATGAAACCATACCCTACATAGAGCGCCCAAGAAATATCATTTCCATGTGAACTTTACTAGTTGCTCTGTAAGAATTACTTTCATTCCTTGCTTGGTCAACATTCCCACTCAACTAAATTTACCTTGTTTGTATTGGCGGTCTTCAATGCTTATGCAGAGGCTCCTTCATCTTTCCCGAGTTCACCCCCCCATGGTACTGTTGAACACTCAATACCTAACCTTTTCTTGTTTTTCCTGACTTACTTGTTTTTAATTAATTGTTGTTCAGTCACAGTTGCCCACCCCTTTCACACATTGACCACTCAGCTCGCCCTTCCTCCCACTCTCACAGGAATCCGCCTGCATTGTCCAAGCCCATGAGTCTGCTATTCATGTTCCTTTGATTGACTATTCCACATCATGCACTCATGGATTATCACCCTAACACCTCCTGTGGTTCCCTGTGTCTTTGTTCTATGGTACCAATGTCTGGCTCTATTGTACTCGCTTGACTGTTTTTGCTCATTAGGTTGTGTTTATAGATGAGATCATATGGTATCAGCCTGACAGTCATGCTGCACAGCTGAATGAGACGATTTATTCCTAGATAAGTTTCAGTACAGATTTCCTTCTATATGCAGTTTTCTGATGGCTCTTTTCAGAAATACTTGCATTTCTCTTGCTTCTTAAGCCTTCCCACTTGGATAAAATTCAATGTGCTTCTATGGGTGACCTTCACAGTTTAGGCAGAGAAAGGGGTCCTTCCTCTTTCCTGACACTGTCAGTGTTTTCAGGAATCACCAATGCGTCACCATGGGAACTAGCCTCAGTTAGGTGTACACTCAGGGAAACTGGCTCGTTTTTTGCACCCCCAGTATTGTTTAACTGCAATTCCTAGCCCTTTTTGTCTAAATTATTTTGTATGCATTTAGGTGTCATGCAGTCTTTAGATAGATGTACATTTATGAAGTGTGGCTGCTCATATTGCCAGATACCACCTGGAAACATGTACACTTAAACAATGGGATTCACTCTGTCTTCTGTGCTATAGTGTCCATGCCCATGCCTACCTGGTAACTCTCAATCTGTACATCTCAGTCCCTGGTGCATCCAAACTTACTAGCTTGCTCTTTCACCACTTAGTGTGTAGTCACTAACCTTTCAACTTAATATGCTAGTTTCTTTTTTTAAAATTTTTTATTGATTATGCTGTTACAGTTGTTCTATTCCCCCCTTCATTCCCCTCCACCCTACCCCCTGTCCCCACAATTACCCCCCTTTAGTTTATGTCCATGTGTCACAAGTTCTTTAGATTCTATATTTCCCATGCTATTCTCCCCCCCCCATCTATTTTCTATCTACTGTCTAGGCTACTTATTTGCCGTACCTTCTCCCCCTTCTACTCCTCCCACTCCCCTGTTGCTAACCCTCCTTGAGATCTTCATTTCTATGTTTCCACTCCCAATCTAGCTGTCCTTTTAGTTTGCTTTTGTTTTAGGTGTGGTTGTTAATAACTGTGATTTTGTTGGCCTTTCATTGTTCATGTTTCTTTAAGTACTTTTTCTTAGATAAGTCCCTTTAACATTTCTTAATATG